AACCTGTACAACTGGGGTGCAGGGATGTCCTGCCAGCCACGAGAGAGAATTAAGAGTGTGAGATGTCCCCAGCCTACTTTGTCTTACCAGAAGTGTTTGTTACCTGTGTGGAATAAGGTGACCTTGAAAACGGTCCACTGATCATGGCTAGCTTGTTTTTTGAGGCCAGTGAATCTTAGCAGTGGCACAGGATAATGGAGGGTCTTAGCTGTGATGCCTGCCCTGTCTCGATTTTCAGATGTTGAAGTGTGCATGTGAAGTGTATTGAAAATGCGACCTTGGTGGTCGTGAAGTGGTCCAGTTGCAGTTACTTGAAAGAATGCAACCCGTTGGAGCAGTTTTTCATGCCAACAAAGCCTAGAGAGGTTTGGCCCAATGGTTAACGTGCAAGGGTGACTAGTACCGGCTAGTGCATTTCTAGTAGGAGTAGGGAAGGCAATGGAGCCAGATATTTAGTTTTAAGGAGAAATGACGGGTAAGGAGGCTTTGCACCAGAGAGCAACTGTTATGCTGGTCAACTGTGAGGTGTACTGATTATACTGCCTTGTGGTAGTTGAGAAGGCTGAGGGAAATATATGTAGATGATTAATTTTGTATTATGCTATGTATAATTTTGTCTTTGTATTGTAATAGAATTAAGGGGTTAGGATTAAAATAGTCTAATAACTTAGGGCAAATTGTCCTAGTTCTCAGATATTTTAAACTGGGGGAGAAAGGGGGATGTAATGTAGTTCAACTGTGCTTTTGAGGTCACTAAGGGACACCTAATTTAACCAATTAAATGGTCACACCTTGCCTTGGCAAATAGCTGTCAGACACGCCTTTCGGCTTAAGTTTGAGGTCTTTTGTTCTTGACGGCGTCAGGTCAAAACACGTGGTGCACACCCCATTGTGGGGAGTGCTTGAAGGATCATATAAGCCCAAGGAACAGCTATAGGAGAAGATTCGAGCAGAGCTCTGGCCTGTGTGCAGAGCTCCCAGCAGGGGATCGAGTTACAGCTCCTGGCCCCGGCTCTTCACTGGCCGCTAGTAGGTCACACTTCTTGCTCCACAAGCTTAATCATACTTCTTCTTAAAGCTATGTATGGATCCTGCCTCCACTACATCACTTCCCAGACTATTCCACTTCCTGACAACTCTGATGAAATGCTGTACTTCCTAACATCCCTGCGATTCATCAGAGTCTTCAACTTCCAATTGTGACCCCTTGTTGCCGTGTCCCATCTCTGGAACGTCCTGTCTGTCCACCTTGTCGATTCCTCTCAGTATTTTATATGTCATTATCATATACCCCCATCTCTGTCCTCCAGTGTCGTGAGGTCAATTTCCCTTAACCTCTCCTCGTAGGACATGCCCCTTAGCTCTGTGACTGATATATTGCGATGATGCTCAGGCCATAAGTTATATATAGTTTATTTTATACTCATGTAGGCCATAAGAGGTGCTTGGTCCTGTTGTTTAAGTGGGGCATGTGTGGAGAAAAAAAAAAAGTGTGTTTACCAGCCTGCTAGAGAATGCTGGACATATTTTTCTTTTGGCCTTACTTTAATCAGCTAGTAAATGTTTATAAGTGTAAACTAATGTTTTATAAATTGTAAGGTGGGGGAGAGTGGCAGTTTTTTGTTTACCTGGAGAGAGTTCCGGGGATCAACGCCCCCGTGGCCCGGTCTGTGACCAAGCCTCATGGTGGATCAGAGCCTGATCAACCAGGCTGTTACTGGTGGCTGCATGCAATCCAACGTATGAGCCACAGCCCGGCTGGTCAGGTACCAACTTTAGGTGCTTGTCCAGTGCCTGCTTGAAGACAGCCAGGGGTCTATTTGTAATCCCCCTTATGTATGCTGGGAGGCAGTTGAACAGTCTCGGGCCCCTGATACTTACTGTATTGTCTCTTAACGTGCTAGTGACACCCCTGCTTTTCATTGGGGGGATGTTGCATCGTCTGCCGAGTATTTTGCTTTCGTTGAGAGTGATTTTTGTGTGCAAGTTCGGTACATTTATTTTCTTAGTTTATTTAACCTTCCTTGAAGATCAAACCTAGGGTTTATTAATCACTGTACTGACCACCAGTTCAGTGCTGTTTGAGTTTACAAGGAAATGTGACCCCTAGAGTGGTTTTATTTTAATATATTTTTTTTTTGTAATTAAGGCCAATGTGTTTACCCCCTTAGAGGTCCTACAAACTTAGTAGCACTCTCCACTGCCTATTACAAATTGGGGGTTTTAGGCTGGTCTGCCACAGTGCTCCTTAATGGAAATGCACATCACCAATGGAAATGAATTTATGGCCATGTACCTTAATGGAAATGAATGTGCTTCTACTGGAAATAAAAACCTGTATTTAAATATACTGAAAGTGCAAGTTATGATCGCTAAACTTAAGATTTACTAAGGTATGTGCAATTTGATCAATGAATCTCAGCACTTTTACAAAACCATCTTACCTTGTGAATCAACATTTTTTTCTACCAAAGTATTGGAGGCAGCAGACCATGATAAAGACTACTATGTTATGTACATATAGACTTTGGTAAGATTTTCAATAAGAGCTCCATACAGGCGACTGTTGAAAAAAAAAAAAAGCAGTGCCACATGCTAGAGAACTTATCTCCTGGATCATTGCACTGCTGAATGATATGCAACAATTCGCAGAAGTGTTGAGAAATCAGAAAACAGATCCATTACTAGTAGTACTCGACAGAGATCAGCTTTGGACCCTTTGTTCACACTACATGAATGACATGAGTATTAATAGGCATATAAGAAAATTTACCAATGACACTAAAATAGGCCTCAAATCATTTCTGAAGAGGACAATACAGTGGTACAGGATAATTTGTAAGTTGGCAGTGTTGCTGGCAAAAAGGCAGATGCAGTTTAATGTAAACCAATGTAAGGTTTTAAATCCTGGGAAAAAGACATTGACAATGCACTGGTACTTGTAAACTAAATTATGTAGACTTAAGAGTTCTGGTAAACAGAAATCTAAAGCCAAGGCAAAAGTACTTAAGAATTTGCAATAAATATAATTCTTTTCTTCATATCAAAAAGTAAAATACTATATCCCTCAAAGTGTTCTAACAGGAATTAGTGTGCAACATGGAAAGCTTTTGATACAGTTGAACATGACTTGCTCCACGTAAAATTGTCACACTATGGTATTAGAGGGCACTCCCTCAACTGCCTCAAGTCTTACCTCAGCAACAGAAGCCAATATGTGTACACAAATGGGGCAAGCTCTTCCACACAACCAATTACAGTTGGTGTCCCACAGGGAAGTGTCCTTGGCCCTCTTCTCTTTCTCCTATACATAAATGACCTACCAAATGCTTCGCAATTACTCAAACCCACACTTTTTGCAGATGACACTACATACGTCTTCTCTCACCCGAGCCCAGTCACGCTAGCCAATACTGTAAACACCGAATTACAGAAAATATCTACCTGGATGAGGACTAACAAACTTACACTAAACATTGACAAAACCTACTTCATTCAGTTTGGTAACAGATCTACAGATGTACCTCTTAACATAACAATAAATGGATCACCTATCACAAAGTTAACAGAGGGAAAATTCTTAGGAATCCACCTCGATAATAGACTCAAATTTCATACACATATACAACAAATTTCTAAGAAAATTTCCAAGACTGTAGGCATACTATGGAAGATACGGTACTATGTTCCACAGTCAGCCCTCCTGGCCCTTTATCACTCTCTTATTTACCCCTATCTCACCTATGGAATTTGTGCATGGGGCTCAACAACAATTAACCATCTCAGACCACTAATTACCCAACAAAAGGCTGCAGTTAGAATGATAACAAATTCTCACTACAGGCAACACACTCCACCAATATTCAAAACACTCAACCTACTCACCATACAAAACATCCATACTTATTATTGCACCTATTACATACATAGAACACTTAACTCTGATATTAACCCTCCCCTCAAACATCTCCTTGCCAACCTCAACAGAACACATGACCATAACACAAGGCACAGATCACTCTTTGATGTTCCTCGTGTCCATCTCACGCAATGCAAAAACTCAATGCACATAAAAGGCCCTAAAATCTGGAATTCATTACCTGTAAATATAAAAGAAACACTACCTGTTTATAAATTCAAGTCTCTTCTCAAAGATCACTTACTCACTCAAAACCAAATAAATACTGAATAACTGAACCTTATAAATTGTATATCCTCTATGTTACTCACAATTATATCACACAAATGTTAAACCTAGGACCCAATCTAACTATTATTTTTTTAAATACACTACCTAACAGAATACTCCATTCGACTGAATGTACAGCAATGCAAGCAACCATATGACCTGTCTTTGTAATACTCATTTGTGCTTTATAGTTATCTGTTTACAATAATGTTTTATCACTGATTTCATCATTGCTTAGTTAATCTTAAGTTAATTTTAAGCCAGCCCGTAATGCTATGCATATAAGTGGCTTTGGCATGCTGCTCTTACCTGTATTTTTTGTACCTCTGTATGTATGCTTAAATTACTAAATAAAATAAAAAAAAAATTTATTCATGGTGTGCTAAAGCATGCAATACCAGTTCTTTCCATGCAATGAGATATGAAAACAATTTCATTAGGGTTACATTTATAATGTGCAATATGGAAGCATGTTACAGAAAGTCTACTGTATCTGTAATAAGAGTACAGTATTACTGAATTTTCATCCACACAAGCATTATCATAAAAGAAAAAAAAATACCTGGAGAAGAAACTATAACAATACAGGGTCATCAGTAGTGTCACAAGATTTTTGCTTTATCTATTTTACTTCCTTACTGTAGATAAAAGAATACCTGCAGTTTTTTATTCTGAACACTGTAATCTAAGGAATGGACTGGGTTATGACAAAATGCTTAAATCCAAAGAACCTAAGCAAAAGTAATGGGATCTAAATGAATATCAAGCCTTAAGTTTATTTCAGTTACCAACACAATTTCTAATACCATACCTTTCTCAATGTTCAATTTCTTGGGAGGTTTGGTATCTTGATGGCGGAAATAAAAGTCCCTGGCCTGGCCAAGACTTACAGAGGCAATGGGAGCTTGAGAATCAAGATCCCTTTCATCATCTTTATGTTCACCCATCTTATCACTGCCATCCTTGTACCTTAAAATAATATTGAAAAATTATAAAAGTCAACATGAATTCAATGGCAAAAGAAAAAAATGCAATAGCAGCACAAGTGCCAGTGATATTTACATTTTACTGATGCAAAGATACAATTTTTTTTTTTTTACTTTTAATGTTTAATACTATGTACACCAGTTTCTTATATTAGATGCACTTCAAATATGAGGAAACACCTGTCCGACATTGCTTCACTTTGAATAATCTACATTCCCCCCCCCCCTTTTTTTTTACTACATTTCAAATTTCCATCATCATGCCCACTCAAATTCCATCATTATGCCCACTCAAATTCCATCATTATGCCCACTCAAATTCCATCATTAAGCCCACTCAAATTCCATCATTATACTGACCAGGAAATTATGCAGATGGTTGTAAATCCACAGCAGCAAGCCAATGGAGGAAAAAACAGTGATGAAAATGAGGATGTAGCACTCTCTATTGACAGGTTAATTAACCCTTTGAGGGTCGACAGGCCCTCTCCCAAACTTGTTCTCAGGGTTAAAAAAAAAAAAAAAAAAAAAAACTTTTTAGCCTATAATACTTACAAAAAAAAAAAAAATTTGTGAGTATTATAGGCCCCAATTTTTTTTTTTTTTGCAATCAATACTTACAGATATGGAGGCGTGAAGTTGACAGTGAACCGCTTATGGCAACATCACCAACTGCTGGTCACCCGGTAATAGTTTTTTCTACCTTTTTCTTTTATTTTTTATTTTATTTTTTCAAGTAACTTTTATGGCCTCTGAGATCAATATAAAGACTATTTGGTATATATTCACTCACTGTATACTACACAACAGCACAAACTTTGCTGTCATTATATTGTTTACAAAACATGTTTATACAAACCAACAATAAAAAATGTTGCTCATTACTATTTTTCTATCATATATATACACAGCCACTGGACAGGTTCCTGTAACTACAAGAGGTTCTGAAAGCTTGTAGTTGTGTGTGGGTGGACTTGTAAATATGCTGAGTCACCTGCATGTCTTGTGTCACAAAGATGCATCATACCAATACTCATTAACCCTCACGGCCTTCCACAACACATCCCTTCCTCCCCACACACCTACCTTCCTTCTTTCCTTCCTACCTACCTTCCCTCCTTCCTTCCTCTCATCTCTTCCTACCTACCTTCCCTCCTTCCTTCCTTTTTCTTTTTCTTCCTTCAAGTAACTTATGGCTTGTGAGACCAATATAAGATATACTGAATGTATATTCACTCATTGTATACTACATAATAACTGCACAAAGTTATTATATTGTTTACAAAACATGTTTACACAAACCAACAATAAAAAATGTTTATTACTATTTTTCCATCATATATATATATACACACAAAGTCACTGGGCACTTCCCAGAACTGCTACAGCTTCTGTAAAACTTGTAGTTATTGTGTGGGGGTGGACTCGTAAATATGCTGAGTCACCGGCGTAATTAGTGACGAATCACACCATCACTCACCACCCTCGTTGCCTGTCAACACTCATCCCTTCCCTTCCCTTCTCCCACCAACCCACATGAAAATAAGTCACTTTCTGAATTTTTTGGGTTATCCTAGGTTGATGGTCTCCCTTCCTTCTGGTTCCCTGGGCATTGCTTTCAGTCACAAACTCTTCAAAACCATGAAATTCATCTTCACTGATACTTCCATCTGTGTTTGAACTGTCACTTGGGAACAAAAGAGCTCCAATTAGCTGAGGAGTGAGGAGTTTCTTAGCGCCAGACATGGTGAACAAAGTGAAATAAAATGGCTTTCCCCCAATGCACCACAGGGTCCCCGATTTTTTGTACCACGCACACTGACCACAGAGACCCATTCTCTCACATCTAAGCCTACCAGCCTTTTCCTGCTTGATTTGAGGATGCTAGAATTTATGCGTACTAGTAAGTCAATAACCCTGGTGCATAAGATGTACTAGTATGTCAAAAACCCCAAAAGGGTTAAGTGTATTCTAACCTAACCACTCTGTAATTTGGCAAACTCACTAATCCGGCACACTACAGATCCCAATGACGCCAGATTAGTGATGGCCGACCTATACAGTGGACCCCCGGTTATTGATCAGTTTTTCGGCGCCTGGTTATCGGCCATTAATTCAGTTATTGGCCGTTTGGGACATGTCCATCCGCCGGCTGGGGCCGCTTGCGCATCAGTTTGGCTTTGTCTCTCGGTGGCTGAGGAAGCTTCTGCTCGTACATCCAAACATTTAGCTTATTTTCCATTGTTTTTAGTGTTTTTTTTTTTTGCAATGCAAATATGAAATAAGTAACCATGGCTCCAAAGAAAGTTCCTGTGGTAAAGAAAGTGAGGAAACACCATGGAATTTAAGCGTGAAGTGATAGAAAAGTCTGAGAGTGGTATGAAGGTGGTGGAACTTGCTAGGATGTACAGCAAGAATAAATCAACAATTACATCCATCTTGGCAAAGAAAGAACAAATCAAAGATGCTAATGTTGTAAAAGGAGTAACTTTTCTAGCTAAACAAAGGCCACCAATAATGGGAGAGATGGAAAAATTATTATTGTGGATTAAGGAAAAAAATTAGTGGAAGACAGTGTTGTGGAGTCTATTATTTGTGAGAAGGCAAGGCAGTTGCATGAGGATCTTGCAAAGAAAATGCCTGAAACAAGTGCTACAGTTTGTGAATTTATGGCCAGCAAAGGATGGTTTGATAGATTTAAGAAGAAGCATAGTGGCATACACAGTGTTGTAAGGCAAGCTTTTGTAGAGAAACACCACCCTGACAAAGCTGAAACAAGCCATATCTGCAACATCTTTAGTAACAAAACCCTGTCCCACTTCAGGGAAATCTTAGAGAGACACCAGAAACAGTGCTCTGGACAGTTATTTTGTGAGACAGGAGTCCAGTGACTCAAGCTGGTCCTAGTGGCATTAAAAGACAAAGGGAAGTAACCCCAGAGAAGGCTTTGCTACCTCAAGTCTATGGAGGAGGATTCCCCTTCCAAACACTAACTCTCCCCTCTTTCCTCCTCCCTATCTTCCAGAAGCCAGCATTAGCCTTCAAAAATGGTATGTAATACTTACATAATTTAATTTTTTTTTTTGTGAATATTTTTGTCTGGAATGGATTAATTATATTTCCATTAATTCTTATGGGAAATATTAATTCGGTTTTCAGCCATTTCGGTTATCGGCCGCCTTTTTGGAACGGATTACAGCCGATAACCGGGGGTCCACTCTATTTGGTTTTCTAAGGTTATGTACAATGAACACTTATTATATTACAATTGTTTTAGTGTGAATTACAGTAGACTGTCATTTAGCACAGTAGTTACGTTACTGAAAATGCAGTGTTAGGTAAAATCGTGTGAGATGAACTGAAGAACTTAGGGGAAGAATGGGGTTACGTTCCTGGGAGCCCCCAAAAAGCCAAAACTTTTTTTTAGGCCTCCACATCTTACAAAAATAAAAGTGAATATGTAGTTGTAGTTCATTGTGATGTATTATATGGCTTTTACTGCTTAAGACTACAAATGTAACAGAAATAATAGTATTTCTTACCTTAAATTGTGGGTGCTGGTGTTTGTGGATGATTGTGAAGAGAGTGGAGAGTTATGTTGTGGCCCTACTGAGCTGAGGAGGATGGTCGAGGTTCTGGTACTGAAGTCGATAGCTGTACTAGTGTGTCTAACTGAATCATTCAGTCAGTCAAGTCACTCAGTAAGTCAGTCAGTCACACAAATAATGTTTACTTCTTTTTCTGTGTACAAAGTAACACTTCATTACAGCTACAGGTTATCTCTTGTATAATATCTTTGTTAATTCTAAGACTTAAGTGCTTATACCTCTTTGTGCCACTTTCAGCAACACTGGTGTGGCTACTGGGTGTCATGATTGCTTGGCAGATACAAGATATAGTAATTAAAATATAACAATTCACAAACACAGCTGCCTTGTAGTAGAGAAAGACTGGACACGTATGAATTATGAACGCTGGGGTGGTGTCGGGGAGTGGCAGGGGAGGGCTCCCCGGATGCTCCACAATGAGGCGGCCGCTTGAGCAAAAGAGAATTTTTTTTTCCTTCCCACAAATTGAACCATCTTAAATTAATTATACGATATGCTACATAAAATTGTGCCGCAATTCTTCAATCGTGCAATACCCAAATCATGCTAAATAAACTCGTGCTAAATGATGGTCTACTGTTCCTAAAAAAAAAAAAAAAAAAAAAAAAAAAAAACTTAGTGGGTCATCCCGGGTTAAATATACTTAGGTGTGCTTTATGGCTGAATTCCACTTTAAGTATCATGAAAGTAATAAATTTGGAATGAATAAGTCATCTTCGAGTCACTTCCACACCCTGTTTGCTGGCAGGGAAGCTGGTTTCTTTGCTTACTTTTTCTAGCTAGCATACTACTACGTTGGACAATCATCACTTGTGCAGTTAACCATGATACATTGTGTGGACCCTGCAGGCCTTAGATTTTTTTCATATGTATCAATAGAAGGAAGGAGAACAAAAGTTGTGCTGAGGTCAAAAATATTGACAGGTGGCAAACTTGAGGCTTAGAAAAATTGTGTACTGATACGTCAGATACATTGTAGGCATCTGCATACTAGTATGTTGGATACACAAAGGGCTAGTGTGCCCAAGCTGGGAGGGTGATGGTTTGAGCAGAGTTGCCTCCACACCCTTTGACTGTACAGTAGTACCTTGGTACTCGACAGCTCCCAACTCAAACAATTTGGTATTCAAAAGCTTTGTTTGGAAAAAAAAAAATCACTCGGTAGTCAACCATTTGCTCGGCACTCAACAATGTGCATCAGACTCCCAGCAGCTGTCGTTCATTGCAAAACTCCGCTGAACTTCGCTGTAAACCATTTTGTGCTTCTTCGCATTTTTTGTTTTTTATATTTGTATAAACAAGTCACCATGGAGCCTAAGAAAATTAGTGATAACAGTCAACCAAAAAGAAAATTGGTTAGTCACAAGAGAGATGAAAAATTATTAATTATTCTTTAGGGAAAAAATTAGTTCGGTACTCAAATGGATCGGCACTCAAACAGCCTTCTGGAACGAATTAAGTCAAAGTACTGAGGTACTACTGTAATATGTACGAACATCTGCCAACAAAAAAAAACTAAGTATTTTTTGTTTATTGTTCTTAGTCAAACCAACATGTATGAATAACACAATGTGCATAAAATATCAATGCATTTAGTGAAAAATAACAAGGAAAAAATCATATAAACAAGGGTTAAGAAAATCTTAATTACGGAATCCACATTATTAACCAATCACTACCAAACAAGCATAAACACTACACACAAACAAAATGAAGATATGCAAAATATGAATGCATTTGGAGAAAAAAAAACATTCATTTGCTCCAGTAACTGAAATGATTACAACTATAGATCAGCATTAACTATTACATTAACTAATTCACTAGTGTAATAAGTCTACTAGACTCATCAAAACCATGTTGCATTACCCGATAGAATATACAGTTCTACTGTACTTGCTGTAACTCATCTAATGACCATATGAACTATGTATTATTGCCTTACTTATCTTAAGTTAAACTCTAAGTTTGCCTGAAATGCTCTGCATACAAAGAGGCTTTTGGCATGTACACCCAACTATTATATTCCTCTGTACAACCATGTAATTTGTCAAAATAAATATCTTTATCTTTATTAAGTCATTAGCTGGTTAAAAAAAAGTACTGTAGACAACCTTTCATTTGGGAACAAACTAATCTCAGCTCAAGCAAAACTCATGGGGAAAAAAAAAAAAAAACTGAGGCTAGTTTCTCTTCACATTTGTCAATACCTTATAACCTATATGCAGCATCAAAATTTCTGAATTTCCATTGCTTCTCATCTCTGCAAAATTATACACTCAAGTTACCTGTTCACTAACACAAAGTTGAAGTTGTAGCCTGTGACATTGCCAAGTAAGTCGCGTACTGCCTCAAGCGGCTGTGGCCAAGGCTGAGCAGGTCTTACAATGCCACTGTACTTGTAGGTAAGGCCAGGGTCACCATAAGTCAC